AAAGCAGGGGGTTTTTTTTTTTTTTTTTTTTTGTTTACGGGGAACCTTTACTTATTTAAAAATGTAACAAAAAAGTAATTTTGCTTCACAAAGCCAACCGGGGCTTGTATTTTCTTTTTTGGAATCAAAAACGTCAAAGATTGTTTCTCTATGGGTTTTGAAAACAGTTGTTGTCAGTGTATGAAGGTAAATCATTGCTCACAGGTTTTAGTCATTGACTACTTTGTAACAGTAGAAGAACGTTTTATTAAAGAACAAGACAATTCCGGAATGTAAATCCTGGGTTATATCTGATACCTTTAATTTCCCACTGATTACATTTCAGTAACTTATCTCAGTGTGGATTTTATCAGTAACTTCATTTTCATCTCATCATTTTTGTAAAGGGGTTTTCTCCCTTGGCTTGTGCCATTCTGTTCTTCAGTCAAAATGAATGTTTGTACTTCCGTCTGGCCGATATCATTCAAAGATCACAAAATTATTCAGAATGTTTAAATGTATTTCATGTTTCTAATGTAGTTGGTACAGTGTTAAGTCCCTAAAAGTTCAAATTCTACTTTGCCTGAAGCCAAGAACACATTGCTCTCTACTTGTACTACTTTATTCTCTCTCTTTTCATGTAAACACTCATGCAGGGTAAAGTCTCTTAGAAAAATCAGTTGTACTTGACTGAAAGAATGCGACGTCACCATTCATAGCACTGCAGTAATTTACTTCAATTATTAAAATTACTTTAACCATTATGTAAGTTTGCATTGCACAAAAAAAGCGCATCGAGGTCAAGAATGTTATTACTATTTGACTATTTGATACCCACTTACCCAATGCTTGGAAGGAAAAAAATTGTTAATTTGAATAAGATATGGATTTTCTTTCACATGAATTCAGTCTTCATTATGAACAAGTGGAAGAGTCCAATAATGAATCTTCAATGACAAGTTAACATCATTTACCCAGTATAAGTCGTCAGTATTACTGATTTTTACGCCCACACTGTTCTCAATCAACACATTTCTAACCCTAATGAGGGCCATTTTTCTTTATTTCATAATATTATCCCTCATGCAGAAGCAGCTTTTGCAAAGATTTCTCCTATGTTTCTGACTCAGGCATATTCTGCTGAATGTCTCTGACCTTCCAAAGACTCAAACAGTGTTGTTAACAGTGATGGTGATTAATAACATGAATCACATCTGCTCATTTTT